GGTACCTAATTACTGCTCTATCAGCAGTCAGCCTTTTGCCAAGAGGAAAAACAAAAAAAACAAACAAAAAAAAGCAGTAGTTAGAGGGTTAAGACAAACCATTTAACACTGATATGGGTGATTGCAACGGTCAGTTTTTATTTATGTAAATTCTTAATTCCAAAAGGAAAAAAAAAACTGCACTAACTACTTTAAAAGTGTTTGCAGGAGCTTAGCTTTAATATGATGGTCAAGTGCATCTAAATCTGCATTTAACACTACCCTCTCCTCAGATTGACAATGCTGCTGTCCAAAAGGTGTCCCCATGGACCCTCCTTTCAAAGTGGGGACACCTCAAAACAGGAAGTGTGTTAGTGGTTGAATCACCAGGTGAAAATAAAGGGGGAAAAAAGAAAATGAATGCAGCTACCACATAAGTAAATTTTAAACTGCTATATACTACACTTTTGTTTTTGGCTTTATTACCACTTTAAGCTGCATCACACTTGTCGGATGTCAGTAACTCAGTGAAAGTAGAGGATCAGCATGACAGGAGTCAGGAATTAGAGCACCAAATCTACTGCCTGGACTGACACCAATTTGCCATTCTACTGTTCTGTGCTGCTAAGGCTCTCGGAGCCCCTTGCTGTTTTGGCTGAACAACTTGCAGACTGACACATATAGATATACTGTGGTGGGGTGGCTGCTCTGCGCTGGATAACGTACATGTATGTGATCCAGCATTTTCAGGTAGGGAGCACATTTGCCACCCCATCTGTGCTGCGATTTGGTACAGCACAAGTCGATCAGCAGGTCCGGGCCAATGATTTATGGACGGGACCTGCTGATTGGTTTAGTGAATCACAGTACAGAGCCCTGTGTTTCCTGACAACACAGGGCCCTGTACACAGAACAGAGATGTGGCTTGCTGTTTGTTTCTCCCTGAAAAGCAGGGAGATACAACAGTCAGATCTCTCAGTGAAAGCAGCACATATTACACACAATACACTTGTTAGGCACACAGTTAGCCCTTTAATTGCCCCTAGATGTTAACCCCTTCTCAGTCAGTGTCATTAGCATAGTGACACTGTATAGTATTATTACTGATCACTGTGTTCGTATAACTGGAGATGTCAGTGTCAATCAGTTCCCACCCAGTGAGGGAGATTTACTAAAGCTGGTTCACGCAGAATCACATGCACCTGGGCATGGTAGCCAATCAGCTTCTAACCTCAGCTTGTTTAATTAAAGTGGTTGTTAAGGCTCAATGTTTTTTTACCTTCATGAATGAAGGTAAAAAACTTTCTCTCTGCAGCAGCTCCCACAGCCCCCCCTAATACTCACCTAAGCCCCCTCTTGATCCTGCGATGTGCTTTGGAGTCTTGGCAATCCCAGGACTCCCTCTCCTCATTGAAGCCAATGGCTCTCGCTGCTGTCAATCACAGCCAGTGAGAAGAGAGAGGGGGCGGGGCCCAGCCACAGCTCCATGTGTGATAGGACACACGGAGCAGCAGGTGCCCCCATACAAAGCTGCTTGCTGTGGAGATACCTGGCAGAAGGAGGGGCCAGGAGCTCTGGTGGGAGACCTAAGAAGAGGAGGATCTGGCCTGCTCTGTGGACCACTGCAGAGAGCAAGTATGATGTGTTTGAGATTTAAAAAAAAAATTAAGCTTTTAATATCACTTTAAGCTTTAGCAATAAAACCTGTAAGCGGATTGATTTCCATCCAGAAGTGCACAAGATTCTAAATGAACCAGCTTTAATAAACACAAATGAACTGTGCTCTGTAAACCTCTATCAAAGAATTATAAATAAAATAATTTTACCAAACTTTGTGCAGTGACAACATGGAATAATACCAACTAAACCCGACGCCATACACCCTAGTTTGTAGACACTAAATTTCACACAAACCAATCAATATCACTTATTGGGATTTGGTTTTATATCAAAGACATGTAGTAGAATACATTTTAGCCTAAATTAATGAAGAAATTAGATATTTTTTTTATCGGATGTTTGATAGCAAAATGTAAATAATATTGTTTGTTTGGTTTTTTTTTTTTAAATTTCGGTCTTTTTCCATTTATATAGAAAAAAATAAACCCAGGAGGTGATCAAATACCACCAAAAGAAAGCTCTATTTGTGTGAAAAAAAATTATATTTTATTTGAGTACAGTGTTGCATGACCACGCAGTGCCAAAAATAAAATAAAAAAAACACCCTGGTCATGAAGGGGGTAAAATCTTCTGGGGCATAAGTGGTTAAAGCAGGTTCAGCTGCAGAAATCTGCTGACATGAAGGCTTGGTTCACATATGTGCGGGTGGTGCCGCTGCGGATCCGCACGAAAATCCTTCCACAGAGGAATGAGGACCCACAGGTGGGTGCCATTAGTTCTAATGGCACGCTGCCCGCACTGGAAAACGCAACCGTACTGGGAACTGAGGTTACCGTGCGGGCTGCGTTTTCAGAAGAAGTGAAGGGACTGCTTCCCTGTGTGTCACGGGGCACGGGAGTCTATTCAAATGAATGGGCTCTCATGCCGCCCAAAGCGTGGCCCTCACGGCCGTATATATATATATGTGAACCAGTGGTAAAGGGGTTTTTAGATACTGAAGCTGAGCAACCTCCAGTGTCCCAACATCCACAGGGCAGAACTCAGGACTCGTATTTGTCGACTCAGAGGTTAATAATATTCTTGCTAAACACTGTAAAGTCCCTTCACATTACATTCCCATGTTGCACAAATTATTTTTCATCCACACACACAGTAAGCCATATGAAAACACAACTGGGTTTTTCTGAAGAAACAAGCAGGTATATGAAATGCCGTAACTGATGCCAATTAATAAGAAATCTTCATTCATGGTCACTGACTCATAAATTTTAAGTAGCTGTCTCAGTCTGTGTACATTGCTTTGCATAACCGTAGAACATTTCTCTTTAATGCTGAGCCAATACGTAAATATACAGAAGACTAATTCATCACATGACCTGCCACCGAGCGGGTGCCAACATTCCCATTCAGCCTGTCAGCGGGAAGACGTCAGAACTTCCTGATCTGAGAATTACGACTCCCGCTCATCCCACTAAAAGGACTCTCTAAAGCCTCAGATGTTAAGTGTACAGAGCATTTCTGGTCCCAGAAAATGAATTACTTCCTATACTCCAAGTTAATCACAACAAAAGGTAAACAATAGAACTGCCTTTGACCCTAGAAAAGAATCGCTCCAAGACCAACCATACAACAACCAGTGACTCCAGTACTATCAGGTGCCGACATCCAACAAGACCTACCCAGCCTACTAGAACTAGCTTTCAGAAGGATTAAGGAGTCGCACACTGGCTATCAGCCCAATTGTCATATATGAGAAATCAGGCAGGCCATAGACGGTTTGTTTATCGTCTGATTTTTCATCGGTCGTTCTGTTGCCACCAATGATTGTGAAAATCGGCCGTTTTTTTTCGCAAATTTTCCAGCATGACTGAAAAAAAAAAAAAAAGGAGGAGGAACCGCGATTATTTTTTTGGACGACAAATCGGCCGATAAACAAGCCTGCATTAGTCATAGAGGACTGCCATCTTCAATGGAACTGCCTTCTTACGCAGACATTAGGGGGTTTATTTACTAAAGCTGGAGAGTCCAAAATCAGACTCCCTTCTGCATAGAAACCAATCAGCTTCTAACCTCAGCTTGTTCAATGAAGCTTTGGCAATGAAACCTGGAAGCTGATTGGTTTCTATGCAGAAGGGAGTCTGATTTTGGACTCTCCAGCTTTAGTAAATAAACCCCTAGAAGTCTAATTTAACTAAATCAGAATTTCCATACCAAGATCATTTACTTGTTCTGTGTGCCATGCCTTTATTTCCTGATCTGATCCCTTTAAAATAACATGTACAGGCACTAAAAAAAGGTTTGCTCAAAGTAGTCAGACATACAGACAGTCGTTAGCCGACATGTAAAGGGCAATCAATATAAGCTGTCAGACTACCACATACCCACTGAAAACAAGCCATTCTATGGGTGGCAAATACGTAAAGCTAAACTGAAGGCATTTTAAAACAATAGTTTTAAATCAGAAGCAATACAAAGAGACAAGCAGTTCATATGTCAACAAGATGCATGTTGATAGAAGAATACGGAATGAAATTAAAATGAAATCTTTACTGTGAGGCTTCTCCTTTCACTGTCCAGTCAAAGGCTGGGGCTAGTCCAGGACCTGGGATCAGAGAAAGTGGATTTATAAAGCTAGCCACACCTAATGGTTACACCTAAGAATTCACCTAATGGAAGTAAAATAAATTCTGTGGGAGAAATCTCTGGGTTGAATAATTCTTTGGGTTTAATAATTTCAGAAAAATTTGGTTTTGCCATTTTATAATTTAATGAGCTACTAATTTTTGTCTAATTATTTTTTTGGCTGGCGTTCGGCTTTAAAATGACTGAAAATTACTTTTGAAATTTACCCCAACATGTTATTCTGCTTATAAGAATCTGCCTTCCCTGGTTCTCTCCCCAACCCAAATAACATGGTAAAGGTATTTTTCAATACAACCTTTTAGTTTTTTATTACATACTTTAAACCAAGTGATGTAATTACGGGGTTTCTGTGCTTCTCTATTCAATGCAGGCAGATCATGGCAGGTGGGAGGGGTCAGCAGGGTGTTCTGTATAGCTTCCTCAAAACATTACAGTACCCTGCTTCTGTATTCCATTCAAGAGCCCTCAGTCCTGATACAAGCATCAGGCAGGCTCCAAGGAGGAGTTATGTAAATATCAGATTGACTTGATGGGCATATGCAAGTCTGGAAGCATTCATGGGGCACCAGTTTTCGACTGTCCCTCCTGTACACTGAAGCCTGCGCTGGGATCTGCTCTACAGGGTAGTTAGAATAGGCTTAGAATGGGGGTGAGTGGAGGTTTGAGCGTAGATAGTATTTGATTGGACAGTACACAGTCAAGGAGGGCCCATGCTATTCGTGTGTTACATATAGTAAACATATAACAACTGGTCTTACTATGATGTTTTCCAGCACTGTCTCGTGCATGTCCTCCAGGCACGCGTTCTCCTGCCAATATTTCCAGAGACAACAAAAGCTGCAGAATGAGTACGGAGGCCAGACCAATGCAATTGGAAGACCACCACGGAGTCATCTTGTTGCTAAATATGAAGATTTTCTAGACTTCTGTGTAAACCTAACGTTGGCATTAGATTCCAGTTAGTACGGGTATGCATTTAATCCACAGAATGCCTGAAATCCTTTACAGATGTTCATAGTCATCTCCGTAAATACGTGCTGTGTCCACCAGTCCACCAGGGAAAGGTCACCTGCAAGACCATAAAAAAAAGATGTTAACATACCATGAAGAAACAATTTTAAGGCCTTGCGATTGGCTGAAGACACATTTTTCAGACCCTAGGCTAATGATCCTAGGACTCAGATGATATCTGCACCAGGTCTTTCTGAAAGCCAGACGTGTATGCCTCCACCCTAAACTTCTTCCAATTTCCCTCAGATATCTCATACATGCATCAAGACTTTTGTAGGTCTTCAAAACCACCAGTTCTGAGAAACGCAGAGGTTCACGTACAAAGCTCTAGCCCAAAACCTTCTGTCATCTACTAAACAAGTACTTCAGACAACTTTCTAAATTATATTTGGCAAGGCAATCCTTTCAGGAGCAGAATGTTGCGATGAAGTTATCTAACCAAACAAAGCACATGGTTTTTAGGAAACAGGAGACCAACTAGGGAAATAATCAACCTGAAAACCTCCATGGATCAAAGTTTAAGACCTTGTTCACATGACGCGCACTAACATGCATGCCCATGCAAGGCCGTGTTTAACCATATAGAGGCATGCCCATTGAGGTCAACTGGGACACAGCCACTGCTCCCAATTTGACTTCCTTGTGGCTGTGTGCCCCCGAACTTCCATAATGTGCGCACCCACACAGATGTCAAATTGGGAGCAGCAGCTGTGTCTATGGGCAGTAGACATGGCAACGCCCCAGAATTCACATTGAATGCAGGGGTGTGGAAATTTTTTAAAAAACTACTTGTCCAATGACTAAACTGGTGTCCCAATCTACTTGTCCTGATAAAAAAATATATATTAACCAAAACCATATTTAAATCAGAGGTGCTTTATGGAATTGTCTGGGGCTTTTAAAAACAAAAGGGGCTTTATGGCAACTTAAAAGTTTAATATTTTTACCTTCTGCTGTATATCTCTTCCTCCCTTCTGTCTCCAGCACCGCACCCAGGGATTAGCAGGGCGGGGAGAGACCTTGCAGTGTAATGAGCACCAATTGGCTGCTTGTCAGGAAAGGGGAGTGTCGGGCTTAGCCTTTATCCCTTTCGCTGCCAGAGCCATTTTTGTGTTTTTTTGCATGTTTAAAATATCATTTAAGGTCTGAAGGTTATACAAAACTACAAAACATGATATATTTTCTGAAATCAGATACCCTAGAGAATAAAATAGCGGTAATTTTAATTTTTTATGTCACACGATATTATCACAAAGGAAACACAAAATTTCAATAAAATATACACTTAACCTCCCTAGCGGTATGATTATTTCAGATTTGTGGTGCTGAAAACGGTACCATTATTTTGCATGGAAATAAGTAGTTTTTTTTATTGTAGGCTGTAATTTTTAGGAATAACTCACTGAAATCTGTCCGAACAAGAGTCTATTAAACATCCTGGGTATGATAAAATTTGAAACACGAAATCATAAATTCTAATTTAATAAATAATCATAAAAAATAATAATATAATAATAATACATTTAATTCAATAATATAATCAAACCAAAAACACTGAAATTTGAAATATAGCGCCAAGTTCGCAGATTGCTGAGCAAAGTCGCAAAATCGTAAAATCGTTTTCAGTGTCTGATGACGAATTTCCCCACGAATCATTATCACTCAATTCTGCAAGTGGTTCTGATTTACTATCGCTGTTCTCTAGCTGATCCGCTACGGAGGAGGTCTGGTGCTAGAATTATTGTGCTCATTCTGGTTAGCGTGGCGATATGCAACATGTGTATCGCAGTAGTCGTTTTCATGTGTGGTTGTCCCTGAGCGTGCTTTTATGTTTGTGTGTGCATGCATACATATGTGGGGATGGGGAGGTTATATGCTTGGGTGTAACTTACATTCTTTAAAAAAATAAAATTTTTTTTTTTTTTTTTTTTTTTTTAATCACATAGGGGACAAAGTCCCCTATGGGATGATTTTTGGTGACAGGTTCTCTTTTTTGAGACATCCAGGGTCTGCATGTCTCCCCTATGCTCCACTGAATGCAATGCAGTGCACATCGCACCGCATTACATTCTTTCCCAGCCTCAACGGCCAGGAATTTGTCAACGGGGACCCGAAAGTGATGTCACATCACTTCCGGGTCAGGTCAAGAAGGGAAGAAGAGCGGACATGTCCCCTCTTCTCCCTCCTTTATACCCGCATTCCGACATACCGCTGGCACCCACTGACTGTTCCAGGCCTGCAGATGGGCAAGCGGAGCCCGGGACATATAGCGGGCAGGGGGGCGGCGGTTGGCACTGTAGGCTGTGTGGAAGCAATTGGGCAGCAGTGCTGCCGCCCAAATGCTTCCACCTGAGAAAAAAAAAAAAAACTACCTGCCTGACACCTGGAACTACATGTCCCAGGCATCAGGCGATATAAATTGAATATCCCTGTGAATGCAATGACCTGCACATCACACTGAGGTACTGCAGGGGAGTGAAGGTGAGTACAGCAGCCTTCAGGGTTTTAAGAAAGAATTAAAAAAAAAACAAATGTATACATAGTATATTTTCGATCCCAACACAATTTGGCTTATTTTGCATGCCTACTTTTTTCAAAGTAGTCCATCTTTCTCACCAGGTATCATGTTCTGCCCATATTAATTGTGTAACACAAAACATTGGGATCAATTCACTAAGAGATAAATACCACATGGATTTTTGAGTTAAAATAACTCATGCGGTATTTATTTCAAAAGTACTCAATTCACTAAAAAAAAAACGTTATTTACCGAATGCATTAAATATTTATATTTTCCAATATTTAGCATTTAAATTTTGCGTTATTTTTATTGCTTTTTCACAAATTTTTTATTTGAAATTGGCATGTCTATGCAAGCACATTTTTTCACTTATTCACAGGAATTGTGTGAAAAAAAAAGTAGAAGTCCCCACTGCAGTCGCAGCAAAAGGACTGGTAGATATCAATGGAGCAGAAGTACGGAGAGTTCCCCACATTTGCAGTCCTTTGACTCCAGCCACATAACTGAAGGCCCATCTCTCTGTACAGACCTGGGCTGGAGGAATATTCTGCAGGAGCTGTGCACTGCACCTGCGATACAATGTTCATGGCTGCAATGACTTGCAGGCTCCAATGCAAGCAAATAATACATTCACTTTTTTTATTATTCAAGAGGATTTGAATTTATTATTGTTTTTGCAAAAATTTAAATGAACCTTTATGTATTTTTATTTCCCCTTACTGTATAATACAATGCCAAATTCTCCTTTTAAATCACTTTTAGTAGCATCACCTAACCATTATAATGCTCTTTTTAGACTGCTGGGCAAGGGCAGTAACCAAAGATTAACGTCAGCACTTTTTCCCGATGTCATGACTAAGAACTACAATTCCTAGCAGCACTCCGAATGCTGGAGGTGTGAAGGCAGTGTTGTCATTCAGCAGGGAGTAATGAAGGCAACCTGGTGGGAGAGATCAGCGTCTTTCTGCAGGGGAAAATCATTGGGGAAGAGGCTGGGTCATTGTTCTACAAATGCAGACATGTTGTTCTGAGAAGGCAATGCTCAGCAAAGGGTGATAACGCTGTAGGATTTTCAAAAATCTGCACACAGCATTGTATCTCTGAGAAAGATTTAAAGCTAAAATTCTTTTTTTTCCCATTTTGGAGTAGGGAATGGGTTAAAGCGGAGTTCCGCTCACTCTGTAAAAAAAATTAAAAAGTCAGCAGCTGCAAAAACTGTAGCTGCTGACTTTTAAAACACAGCCACTTACCTGTCCCACGATCCTGCAGTGCCCCCGCTTCAGCCCATTTCACCGGCCGTCCTGTATTCCAGGCGCCGGCATCTTCAGTATGGGCACCCGGCTGTGAGAGCTTGCGGCTTCACAGTCGGGTACCCACTGCACATGTGCGAGTAGCGCTGCTCTTCCTGAATGGCCCCGTCGTCTTCTGAGACCTGTCACGTGTCCCACAAGACTTCGGGGAAAGAGGGTAGGAGGACAACTTCCGCTTCCAATTGCCTAGGCCAGGGGTAGGCAACCTGAGAGCCGCAGGGCTACAAGTTCCATCATGCCTCTGCAAGTCATAGCTGTAACTGTCAGTTTTGTAATCTTTGCAATGCCTCATGGGAAATGTAGTTCCACAACAGCTAGAGAGCCACAGGTTGCCTACCCCTGGCCTAGGCGATCGCAGCGGAAGTGGGAGCGGGTACCTGTCAAATTCGGGTACCCGTCCCCCCCCCCCCCGCTCCCCAAAGATGCCAATCCTTAATGGGGAGCGGGGGACCAATCTTTAAACCAGAACTTCCCCTTTTGGGTGGAACTCCGCTTTAAAAACACAGTCAGGTTTTTTTCTTGTCATCTGTGTCCCATTAGGGAGATATCCCTTCATTTCCTGTCCCGTAGACACAATAGGAGGGAAAAGTAATTATTTCCAAAGCCATCAGAATAAATGCCTTCATTGAAAGATGTTCCCTTTATTTCTGGTGACAACTCACTTTCAAAACCAGTGACAGTAGTCACCCGGAAAGATAGAAGGTGAATCTCCCCAGGGGGGACACAGACAAGAAAAACCTCAGAGTGTTTCTATTCTTTCATACTCTAGCCAAAGCTAAAAAAAAAAAAAAAGTCTGAGATTTAAAGAAGATATAAACTCCAATATACACACTTCAACCTTTAAGCTATGCAGCGCTTAGATCCCTCACTGGCTGCTGTCATCTTCTCCCTGGGTTTTTGGCATCCTGTATGGCCAGTGGGGCAAGGTGTCATTCTGGACATGCTCACAGGAGTCAGTCATTCTGGTACAGCCTGAGCATGCGGGGAATGCACAATGAGCTGCGCATACACAGCTCAGTGTACATTCAATAGAAAACTGCAAGCAGACAGGT